ATAGTAGTCTAGGGAGTTAACGGCAAATATACGAAATATTTTAAAGAAAGTTGATGCAATAGCCTCGATATTTGCGCTGAGCACTACTAAAGATATAAATATTTGGCAATATCAATAATAAATCTAAGAATGGAATCCAGGAAAGTAAAGAAAGATTTACCGACAAAGATATGGACCCTCGAGATAAGCATCTCTTTAATAGGATCAAGCCGTAGTAATTGAGATACTGGATCATTCTCATCGTAAGTGCCAAAATCCATCTAATTCTCGGCACTATAAAGAAAGGGGTCGTTGGGTTACAATTCGGAATCGGTACAGCAATAGCGGTCACATACACCTTCCCTATTAGGGGTTATCTCAAACCACTTCTCTTTATAACATTAGTAATATTATTAAACTACTATATTAAATTTCCTATAAAAGGTAAGATTCATTTAATAATCAGCTTTGGGAATGGCTCGGGCAGTTATATCACCGTTAAATGCCGGGTTAGGCTTATACTCGATATTACCTATACTAAGAAATCGAATACTAGGGGTACATTTATATAAAGGTTTTCTTATATCCGGTGGCCGACCTCTTCTTAGTAATTAGGGTAGTGGCTATAATTGTAATTTAGGTGTCTCGAGAGTACTATAATTAGTAATATAATTATTGATATCAAATATAGTATTTGGGGTATTAAGAGGATTCCTTATTCTGGGAAGGTGGGTAGGATCTCTAATACCAAATTCTTCGAAGAAGTTGTTATCGTCGTCTACAAAATTATAAATATACTACTTATCGCTATCCTGATTATTATTTTCATTAATTTAGTCCTAGTATAACCAGTAATAATCATATTCAATATTATACTTATTAAAGAAATCCCGCCGGGGATATTCTCGCTTATAATAAATATAGACTTTAGCTTTATTACGAATATTGTAATTGGGACTGTCGTATATATATATAACGCAGAAGTTGGTAATAGGGTCGCGGTCAACGGGGCGGCGTAGTTAATAACACACCGGGCAAATGAAATACAGTACATTATTATCGTCTAGAATATCTTGCACAATATTACTAGAAGAATTAAGTTGGCTAGAATTATTTAGTCTATAATTAGGGTATATATCTAGCTCCCTATATACCGGATCGATATATTAATTACGAGGCCATTTTTAATAGCAATGAACACAAATCTTTATCTGAAACTAAATATTGGTATTAAAGAGAGGGACACAGATAATGCAATAAGGTGAACCATTTGGACGGCGATCACGAGTATAGCGGGATAAATTATATACCCGGTATACGAATTGAAATTGCAAAGGGTCTATCTCTTAAAGGCTCGGGTATTATCGTACAATAAGGGTAGCCAAAGAAGGTATTAGTAAAACCTCTTCTTATTTATGTTTTTATTAACAGTAATTACATTAGATTTCTTTCAACTTAGTACGCACTTGAGCAGTCTCTTTGTCGTCCTATAAATACTTGCCTCGCCTGAAAATCTTGGGAGCTTTTAATAATAATTACATAACTTAATCCTTAATTTACTAAAACTTAGGCTTATATATTTTGAACCGGTAAGATTTGGGCTGCTGAGCTAGTAGTTGTTGGGGGGGTTGTTGAGCTTCTTGAATAGGGCGAAAATTGGCAATCGGGGAGGTTATTTATTAATACGTTGTCTTATTTGCCTCTAAATATTTGCAATAGCATCCCGGTCATCTTGAAATTCGGTTTCTATTAAGCCTTATCCTCGGAGAGATTTTTTAGCCCACTATTCAAAAAACCATTATTATTAATAACCGGCTTACTACTATCGTTATTATTCAAGAAATTATAATTGGTATTACCCTAGCGGTCGTTACCCTAGCGGTTGTTGTATAGGCTATAGTTAGATAACCTACTACCGCTATCATTCTCTTACTTCAAACTCTTCTTATATAACCGTATAACGGCCAAATATTCCAATTTCTTATTATTACTAGCCTTATTGAACTTCCAATAATTCTTAGGTAGAAATATTAATATCTTTACTATTAAAACGTTAGTAGGGATTTAAGCGTTAAAATGCCAGACGTTGCAATGGCGGTACTTGAAATACCGGGCCTTAAAATACCGGAATTTAAAGTTGAAATACCGGAGCTTGAGGTAGTTTATAGGCGGCATTAAAAAACGCTTATAGGATCGGGGGACGTTAAGTACATCGTATACGGGCTTTGTTTAGAGAAAATAATAAAGTATTATCGGGAAGTCTTTTACTGCTAGTAAGGGTGGATAGCGCGTTGGAAGCCAATGCTCGGATTAATAATTATCGCTTTTGTTTAAGAGTCTAGTTCTAAATAATAAAGGAAATATTAATTATTCAAATACCAGCCATAGAACCTATTAATATAGTTTAAGTCGCACCCGCAACCCCCCGCGGCTCGGATCTTAACCCTCAAGGGCACCATTCACCCGCAAGTGGTGGATCGATACGGTATACTAGGTTTATGGTAGGATTGACGTATTTTGAAGGATTTACCGTTAAACAGACAATACGGGTTAATTAGCTAGCTAATAGAAAGGGAACGATAGATTAGAGATAGATTAAATATTAATTTACCGCCTTATTACAACAAGTATCGTATATTACTATATAAATATTAGGATCTCTTTTACTAATAAAAGCTTATATCAATTTAACCTTTTTATATATCCTATACTTCCGAGTTGTTACCTCCATCTTATATAATTAAATAACCGATTTAATTAAATGACCAAATAAAAGAAAGATAGAAAACGAAAGCTAAAACCGATAATTTATTACTAAGAATCTGCAATAATAGTACCAAACCCAACGGAGTAACTTCGCCCTTCCAGCTTCGCCCTACTAATCTACGTACGGCCGATTAGGTGCCCTACACTAACGGGTCGATATTTATATTTTAGTCTTATCTATAATAGTAATAAAGTTAGTAGAGGATGCAAGGAGGGGATGCGAAGAGGGGAAGTAACCCGGCTTTAAACCGTTCGTACGTGCGTTTGGTTTTAGTAGCGAGTAGCTACTTTAGCAAGTACCGTTATAGATGGGTAAATAATTAAACCCAAACTACTATAGGATAGTATTAAAGTTGATCTCAAATATAAGATATTGGTTGTATTGAATTTATTGAAGAGGAGAGGGTTCGAGGGTCGAGAGGTAGGGGGAGACGAAATTCTTATACCCTTTTGGGAGGTAGCCGGGAGGTAACTAATAGTTACTAGAAATTTCTACCGATTAGGTTAACAATTGGATTCATAGTAGGGTTAATTAGTAAATAGTATTGCAATTACTTTATTAGTATTAAAAGATAGAAGGTATCGGTCATCGGTAGCTTCCGCAGTATACCCCGCAAACAAAGTAATACGCAGTTAAATAATACAAACGGTCGCGTAATTGTTTGAAGGCTTTAAATTAATAGATATTAACGATTCTAGATAATTCCTAGTATTGCGCACTGGTTGCAGCAATAAAAGAGTATTAGTATTAATAATTAAAGGTGGTAGTAGGGGTAATGATTGAAAGTAGTGGACTAGGCGATAACGTGAATAGTAATATAGCCGGTGTACTAACTTACTGGAGTACCAGACTCACCGGGAGTGACAGATAGCCGGCCACACAAACCACAATCGCATACAAAGCTGCAAAATAGCTGCGCAACAATTTAGTAGAATTTCATTTGCAAGACTGCGCAACACCGCATACCAAACTACATCGCTGTAAAAAGCGAAATATATAATAAGATAATTATTCTGCACATGATTCTTCATTTGCAATCTAATGCACGCTCGGGATATACAGCTATAATATATTAAAAGGGACTAAAATACGGATTTCTATCGCAGCGCACGGGCCTCGAATTAAACTCAACGATAGAGTTTCCTTTTTGGGACATAGGGCTCCGTAATTAATGGTATTTGGACCGCTATAAATAGAACCGCCGCTCCTTCCTCGCTTCGACGTAGGCCTATAGTACTACGACCTCTAGTATAGATAATCTATAATACTTCCTGGGCCCGACGACGAATCTTTGTGAAGGAATGGGCGTTCCAATAAATTTATTTCCTATACTACTAATTCATATACTTATACTTTTTATCTAATATAGTAATTATAGTACTAAATAGCAGTTAGTAGTAAGTAATAATAAGTAGTAGGTAATAATCCTAATGCTTATACTTTTTGAACTTGTATATATAATCCCTCTTCCCCTCGCCTTTTAAATTTCTCCCTTTTCTCTTTTTTTCTCCAGCGGCGGTTCAATCCCTTAAAGTAAATAATATTATTCCCTTCTCTACGTAATACTAATCTATTTCCTCCAATTCTTTTAATACTCTTAAATACCCTACTATACGCTATTCCCTTTTATTAGTTCGGCTTCGCCCCCGGGCTCCGGCTCCTAAATGTCATAGCATAGCCGGACGGGTACCCAGAGCACCAGCCACTGGGCAATAGGGGTGCCGGGCACAGGGCACTATGGTACATCGGACGGAATAAAGCTCCTAATCTTATTCATAGGCTTCTAAATTAAGAAGGCGGTGACAAATACCAGTTCTGACTTATATATCTAGGACTACAATACCCTCGTTTACCAACTTCCTTTTCTTCCTTAAACTTAATATTACTTTAATTTATAACTTCTAATCTTACAATCGAATCTCTCGTAGAATTACGCTTTTACATAATATTAAGTATTATTCTTTAATTAATTGGGGACGGCACTAAACATCCCAACCGAACTACCTCGGATTGATTGTCGCGAGCGAACTAAACGACACTTAACCCTCGAACGGTCATAATTTGAATGAAAATGCGCCTACCCCTATTAATCTAATATTATAGCGAAGGAGGTGTACTTAAGGAAGGCCACTAGTAATAGCAAAGCCAATACAATATAGCCCGCTTCTTATATAAAACCGAAAACCCCCAACCAGCCTAAGGGAACTAAGCGGTCCACTAGGCCTTTAAACTAATACCAAACAGAGGAGTCCTTCTACTCTTCCGCCGACTTCCAAATTAAAATAGGTAAACCTCCGCACACCACCCCAGACCTACATACACCCAAAAACCAGGGAAATGTAGGTCCGTGCAGCTGATGACACCTAATATCGTAAATCCCGTTTTTACCCACAAAATTTCGTCTTTCAAATACACACAACATCTCCTCTGACTTAGTTATTTCTTTCGCTCTTTTTCACACGGCCAGTTGCACTCATTTACACCAGCACTATATCTCTACCCTTAATGTACGTAATCTTATTTAAATTAATTGACTTTAATCGTTTATATATACTTTTGATTACGTATAATCGCTACTAATTAGCAAATATTACTTTAAACTTCTCACAATACCCCTTCTTCTACGCAGCCTCGCTATTATTGTAATTTAACTACTTCATTATTTATATTTGTAAATAAATATACCTCCCTCGATAGTAATATTAAATAGGTTATCCTACCGGATAATAGCGCTTTTACTCTCCCGCCTACTAAATTAAAAACTGTTATACGAAAAGTTATTGAAATGTACTATTGTTATAAATTCGGAATATTTATACTTCGTACCGACTATTTTATAACAGGATCATATAAGGGTAAACTCTATTATAGAATCTATTAATATAACTATACTAAAGCTACCCCTAATGTAAATACAAATCCCTATAAAAAACATTATATAATTATTAAAAAGATTATTAATAAGTTTCCTTTTAGTATTGTAGTCCAATACTTAAAGAAGAATAGCTATAAGTATTCAATATAGGCGATCGATCGTACGTACTAAGGCTATCCCCTATCGTAATACTTATTATACTATTTAATCTTCTAATAATAGTCTCTTAATATAAAAAGCTACGATTATATTGCGGGTCTCCTTTGCCAACGAGAGTTAACTGTATATAATATATATATAACGGTTAAAAAGTAATACCCTAAATTATTCCTTATATATAAAGACTCTAATAACTTACGCTAGAGGTTATACCAGTAAAATGATAGGGGTTATATTAATATATAAGTATTTGTATGTACTCTTGAGAATAAAAAGGCTATTGTACTTAAATACTATTAATTTAATTATTATTGTAATAATAAGGGTTAATAAGAGGAGGAGCCTACTATACTCTACTATAGTCTTTAATATACAATTAAGTAGAGAAAGATATAGAAGCGATATTTATATACTCTACTACTCGACGCTACGTACAAAATGAATCGGTACTATATATTAATAGTATAAAGTATTACAATTACCCCTGAACGGTTATCAATACTAATCTTTTAAATGATTATTCATAACAAGAAGGATAAAGGGTTTGGCTAGTTAATTGAATATATTAAAAAGACTATAAATAATTTATTAGTTCTTGAATTAGCGGTTATTATTACTAACGGTAATAACCAACTTATTAGACTATTAACTGAATCTTCCTAAACGTTTAACGTTAGTATTATATATAGTATATTAATTACAACGTTATTAAGTACCTTAAAGATAATTGGGAGTATATAGAGCCAAATAGTAATAGACTATAATTTAATAATCAAAATAAGGCTGGCGAAAAGTCTAATAAGGAGGAGGATAGTAGTAGTAATTCTAGCGGTAATCAAATAGTAGTATAATAAATATAATAAGAAGTAATGGATTAATATAATCAAAATAATTTGAATCGATTATACTACATATATAAAAAGATTAAAATAGCTATTAGGACGTAGGTTAAACTAGGCCTACTCCCTACGAGGGTTACTAATACCCAGGTAGGGTTCTTTTACGTATAATAATATATAATTTATACTCCGTTAATACCGGAATTTGAAGCCGCCTTATTACTCCTACATTACTAGTTTAAGGAAGTATAGGAAACTATTATTCAATAAATTATAGCCGAATTACTCCTTTATAAAAAGGAGTAGGTTAATTATTATATAAGGAATTACTTCAATTGTAGGCAACGGACTACATTACCGAGTAAATCCAATAATAACTCCTTCAAATTATATAGGTTATTTACTCGTAGCAGTCTAATAAATTTATACTATACGAACATTAAATATAATACCCGCTATTATATGTAACTTAAAGAGGAGGTTATAAAAATTACTTTATATATACGTATAGACTAAATCGGGCGCCTACAAGTAGGTAATACTCCTCTTAATATAACAGTATAGGCATATAAATTATTCATTCGCTAGTATAACTAATTGAAAGCTACTCTTCCTACTACGAATTACCCTAATATACCCCTTAGACTATATACTCAATAATTTAAAGCCTAATATAGCCTCCCTTATACTTATAAGATAGAAGTAAAGAAGGAAGCTAGTAAGACAATCTTAATTATAAAGGATAATTATTATCCATTTTAGTATTTAATTTAACAACGGGTAAAATCACTACTATCCCCTCGCCGGTTATCCCTCTACTAATTACTATATTAAAATACAATAAATAAATATCTATATTTTCGCCAGGCCGATAAGGGTATACCTAAGGGTCGCCCTCCCAAATAGGGTAGCCTATTTAATAATAAAACTATTATATTAAATAAGTTATTTAATTAAGTAACCTAGGGTAAGAAAATTAGTAGGAAGGCTATTAACTAAAAAGTAATAGCGCCTCGAAATAGATCGAAAAATACCCAGCCTATATATTCTTTAGCGTAGCGCAACTACTCCCAATACAAGGTAGGGCCTAATATTGAGCAGCTAAATACCCAAAACGAAGTATATAATTGTATTAAAGTGGTTAATAATAATAAAGATAATAATGTGGGTAGATATTAGGTAGTAAGGGCGAAAAAGTAAATAGTAAAGGAAACGAGAGAGGAGGGGGCGAAAGAGAAGGAAAACATTGAAATATTATTAATAGCCTCCTCTAATAAACGATCTAAGCTGTTAGATATCAATATTGGGAATAGAATAAAACTCCCTCAATACTATAAAAGTATTACTAGATTAGCGTTATCAAATTTGCTATATAAGATGTACTACATAGGATTTACTAGGTCAGAATATTATAAGATATTACAAACTACGATCTTTATAACTAAAATAACGTATTTTATAAAATAATTAACATCCCTCCTTTTTAGGTATATATAGGTTCGGAGTGGGTGTGCGGAAGTTTACCTATTAAAATAGACGACAAAATAAACGACTCTATATATTATTATAAATAAACAAAATCGCTTCTTAAAAAAGACTTAAACTATACTTAAAGATTAGACAAGGGCGGGTATTCCCCCCCAAATATCAACCTATTACCGGAAATTATTAAAAAACCCCCTCTCTTCGTACTATAATAACTTCAACTTCAAAGCAAAACTTCTACCCTATCCAAAAAGGGAAAGTCTATAATATAAAGCCCTCACCAACTAGCGAAACTACAAACGGTTAATTTTAATTTAATTCCCTAACGAAATAAGTAATATAGAACCCTATTAACTAAAATTAGGAGGCAATCCCTCGTTGAATAGGAGCTGCCCCAACCACCGCCCCTTAAAAAAAACAAGTAAGAACTATATAGTATAACGTCCACCTTAAAAGAAAGATACAATACCTTCGTCGAAGAAATACCCTATCGCTTCAAACTTAAAGTACTACTATACCCTCTAAAAATATATATATTAATATAACAGAACAGTATATAATTCCTAATAAAAATTATTAGGTTACTAGAGTCCCTATTTAATATTTCTAACCGTGTCATGGCCCAGTCCCATGACCCCCAGAGGCGCAAGTCATGTACTAACGTGCCGCATTCGCGGCCCAGGCGCAGGACCTACTACGGGTCGTCCGCGCGTAGGTATCTAACCTCGCGCAGCCAGTGCACCTTAGAATTTCTTCCCTTTCTCTCTTTAGCTTTGGTTTTATATTTGATTTATGCCATATCCTTCCCTGCGCTGGCTTACGCTCGTGGATGTGCATGCCCTTACAAACCGCTTATAAAGGCCAATAAAAACTCTATTATTACTAAGGCGCTAGGAAGCGAAATTAATTCAACCCAATTTAATATTATAAACTCCAAGGACCCCCAAACCCTATAGTAGGAAGCATATACCTACGCGCTATTAATATACGTATACACAAACCTTATCAATAATCTAGTCAATATATTTAGTAAAGCAAATAATAATATCCAACGGGTCGACGTATAGACAGTATACTTCGCCCGATAAATAATAAAGGCCGCAACCTAACCTAATAATTAATTCGCCGATAAAATAATGGTACTAAGAGAGTAAAACTAACATTTCCAAAACACTATGGCAATAATAATACGTACGAATAGTATACCGGCTATATAATCCCGAACAACTACGCAACCACCTATAAACATATTTACTAATAGAAAAAAACAGGCTAATACTAAAGTAAACCCATTTACACCCGAAATAACTAGAGATTAAGTAAGGGGGGGTCGGAGAGGTAATCCCCCTCCCGGTGATAACTCTTCGGACAATAATAATAACGTAAATATTCGGCCGCTACAAAGATCGGAAAACCCCGAATATCAACGAAGTATTATAATACTACCCAATACAGAGAATCCTAACCAACGGATCAAAATATCTCGTTATAAATTTATTAAAGTAAAAGTATTTACTTTCAATAATGATATTATTAATAAAGTATTTTTCGAAGCGTAGTACTTCCAAATAAAATATAAATTACGTATTGATTCAAACCACTTTATTAATAAGGATACTAAGATCGGAAAAGTAATAAACCGCTTGGGGGGTACTATTACTCACAATATCCTTCCCTACTTCGATAATATTCATCCTAATCCTATTGAATTAATCAATAATCTTTTAGTATATTTATAGTATAATTATTATAACTATAATACTATATTAAAGGCTGTATAAGAGTTCGAAGATTTATAAATAAAAACTATAGACCGCTTCTAAGATTTTAAAATCGTATTTATCTACTTAGCGGGGTAGAGTTATATCCCTAAGGAGCTCTAGAAGTATAACCTCCGATGTAAAGTAATTCAAGCTTTAAAGATCGTAGGCGAAATCATTATTTTAACCCCTACAAAGTTTTCGACTAATATACCCGTCTATTATAATCTCTACACGAAAATAATTAACTAAAAGTCGAAAAGAAATAAGAACCGGACTAAATTAATTCTATATTCTCCTAATTCCTAAGCCCCCTCGTCCAAAACCCTATATAATAACTGGATCGAGAGAGTATTTATATTGTAGACTCCCAGTATTAATATACCTATGTACTATTGTCCCTCTTTAAACGAAATAAAAAAACTAAGGGCCGAAGGAAAGTACTTTTCCTACCGAAAAATAGGCTATATATCCGATTAATACCTAAACAAATCCAAAATCGAACGAACTATCGAAGCTCAATTAACCGCCATTACCAATAAAATATAAGGATCTAATATATTATAAGGTATAAAAAGAGACCCGGGGGTTGCGGAAGATATCAAGGAGATGTATACCTCCAACGAAGAAAAAAATATTCGAAGAGGAGGATTCGGAAAACTAATTACCCTAAAAATAAATAACTCCCTTCTAAGGGAAGTATTTATTAATAATATTAATAATTAATCCTTTTAAAACAATTAAACTTACTTAAATTTCATTTTAGAGGATTATTTAAAGGGAAGAAAATCCTTTTTAATTAATTATACAGTAATAAATAATAGATTATCTATTATAATACAATGTACGCTAATAGATATAAGAGTATATATATCCCTAATAATAAATTAATCGTTTGTTAATAAATTATTAAAATACTTAAAACTACCCTATTATAATAATTTGAAGCCCGGTTAAATTACTATTATGGGGCAAGGGTACCATTACAAGTAAGTTACAATATTCGTTATTATACGAAGGAAGTCAGAGGAGAGTGTGTGTTAGCCTGGGCTTATAAGGGTTGTATAACCTAGTAGGGTGGGTCGCGTAGAGCCCCAATGCCCGGGCTAGTACTAGTACTGTAGTACGGCACCGATAGTACGTGATCTGGTTATGTGCTATGGTAAGGTATAGGGTATGTAATCTAGCCCTATAATACTACCTCCCTTCAAAAACGCTTCCAGCTATGAAAAAAGTATTTAAATGTATTATTTTACCTAAGGTAGGCCTTCCCGAATCCTCTAAGGATGCGTTTAATTAGATTATAATAAAAGTTTTATTGTTCGTGCGTAGGCGGGAGGTTGTTTAGTACTCCAATTCCTATTTAGTAGTAGAATACTAATTAAAATATTATTAATTTGACCCTTCTATTGTTAAAGCTATTATTACCCTGAATAATCTATTTATACCTAATAAATTTATTTAATTAGCGTATATAGAGAGTTTTAACAACTTTTACTATTACTAGCCCCTCCCCCCCCCCCCCCCGGGTGCTATATGGATAGTTATAGTATAGCGGTTCATATAAAACGTTTATAACTATTATTAATATAAATTCTAGAGAGTTCGCGCGTTTAATTCCCTATTAGTAACTGTGTTTCGTATAAATATTCAAATATATAGTATTAAGGTTTCTTGGATCCTTCTTATCTTTTAATTTTATCCGTTGTGGGTGTTTGTTATAGGTGTGGGCCGTTCGGGGGAATAGGAAACGTAAGACCGCTGTAAGATATACTTTTTTTCGGTACTATTAATAGTTGTTTTATAAAAGGGTATATTATAAGGTATTCGATTAGGGTGTACGGAATAAGTTATACTAAACTTCTTTTTATTTATCTTTTTAGTCGAGTTTCTTATTCCCTTTATTATACTATTTGAGTATTTTATTAAAACTATTTAATATAGATCTAAGTTGGAGATAATCTCGGGTATTATTAGTAAAGTGTAAGATAGGGAGGTTATTACTAAATTTAGAGAGTTTAGAGAGGACGACTTTTTTTTAATCTTTCCTTAGTTTATCTCTTCTTTACTTAAATTAGTAGTAGTAGTATATTAAGGTAGGAATTATAATACTTCTAGATAATATCATTATATCCCTCTAAATCTTTAGCGGGTTACTATATTGGTTTATTAATATCCTTCTATTTAATTTAATATATCTAACGACTATTATTTATTTTGCTATATCCTATAATACTTTCAAATTCCTATTCCTACTATTCGATATTATTACTATTATTAATCCTTATTATAGTTCTACTTTAGTTTACTATAATATTTTATTCAATATTGCATTATTCTAGGAGCCTAATTATCTCCTAAAGTTTAACTATAGAGATATAGAAGATTGGGCTAACTTTTAAATTTTTAGGGAATTAGAATTTAATTCAATAGGAATTATATTCGAATATTTTAAAACGTCCTTCGAATTTAGGTACTAATTTTATTTGAGGTCTGCCTATAGTAAAGTTCTTAGTATTAGAAAGGATTCTATTATTAATTTAGTATTCAGGTACGTCGTTGTAGTTCTCGTTTGTATTTACTTTATACCGATCCTATACTTACTTTAAGAGTATAATAATACTATTTAATATAATTTAGAAACGGTTTACTATTTCCAAAGCTTTAAAGAACTCCTTCTTCTAAGTATTTATAAAATTAGGGGGGTATAGTTTCAATAGTTTTATTCCCATCTAGGAGTAGAAGTTATAATTAGTATAAAAAGGGCTTACTTCTATAATTTTAGAAACTATATTATTATAGGTAAATTCTACTAATAGTAGTTAATCGACCTAATCGTCCTAAGCTTAATTAGTATTAAATTCTAGGTATTATTCTATTTCCGTGTCAATTCTTTCGGTTCAATTATTAGTTTAAAAGTAGAAAACTAATAAATTTTATAGTAATACTTAGCCTTTTGTACAAAGTCCTCTAAAGTGCTAAAATAAATTATAAACTTTTATTTAATATAATTTTATTAGGTAAGTTATGGATATTATAGATCTTGTTAATAAGTTTTTTACTCAGTTCATCTATTTTTAATATTTATATTATGATATAATACCTTATTTTCGTCAAATGGTCGACTATAATTGCAATATAGCGGTATATTTATTTATTCTTAGTATAGAGTATTACAGGTATTATATAGTCGACGGATATCTACAACTATAATTTAAAGGGTATTAGGAATAGTTTCAAATAGCTTACGGGCGAATACTTTAACAATTTAGTCTTTGCGTAAATTAGATATACTTTACAAAATTCTTTAACGGATTAGTATATTCCGGGCCAGTAACAGAATTAATCAAATATTTTATAAGTTCTTTTACGGTTGGAATATCCTTATAACTTTATTATATATATCTTGTAAATAAATAGTAATTAGGTTTCTTCATTATTAGGGTTGATTAGTACCTTTTCTTTAATATCCTTCTACTAATAGACCCGTCCTTATTTCATTAAGTATTTTACGAAGGTAATTTTAAAGTGCTTTTTAATTCTTAGTATCTAGCCCTTCTAGTTTTTGTTTTGTAGGTATAAAATTGATTGTTGTATTAGGTTTAATTTAGAATAGTTATCGTCGATTAAATCATCCGTCGATTTCTTTACTTCTAATTTATAGAAATTAATTTCCTATAAGTTTAATCAATAAGACTAACTTTAATAAACCGCTTCTATAGTTCCTAAGTACAAATATACTATATTTAATATATCCTCGTCCTTAAAGAAAATTGGGTTGAAGTAGTTTAGGTTAATAAGTTGTTTTTTCTTAGTTAAAAGCTTTTTATCTTCGTTATTATATAACTTATCTTTTAATTTCTTATCCAAAATATTTAATCTTATATTCTTTAGGCCTTTCTTATAAATAATACGAAAGATAAAATAGTTTAAGAATTTAGCTTATCGTATATACCTTAACATAAATTACTTAATAATTGCGAGTGTTTTAAAGTTCTTATAGTCGGTAATAATTTCTACTTATTCTTATACGCCTTCTAACTCTGGTGTCTATTCTTCTAGGGTTTTTATAATAGCGAGTAGTTCTTTATCATAAATATTATAGTTATATTCCATTGTAATGTGCTTAATTGAGAAATAAATTATTAAGTAGAATATACTATCGTTTCCCTATTGTAAGAGAGTGCCGCTTAATACCCAATTTAAAGTATTTATTTTGATTACGGTCTTTTGTCCAATTATAAATTTTTAGGATAAGTATTATAATGAATGCGGTTTTTAAGTTTTCGAACGCCTTTTAATATTCGATATCCTACTACTAATCCGCTATTTTTTCTTTGAATTCGTATAATAGTCTTACTATACCAGAGAGGTCTTTAATAAATTGCTAGTAGAAGTTAGTAAAGCTTAGGAAAGATTGTAGCGATCTTTTGGATTCCGGTACCTCTTATCAGACTACAAGCTTTACTTTAATCTATTTTAATGCCTCTTGCCGTAATAATAAGGCCTAAATATTTGGTTTTAGTAGTATGGAATTTATATTTATTAATATTAATTTGCAACTTAGAGCATTTAAAACGGTCTACAATATTAGATATATTTAATATACTCCTCTTCGTTGGCGGAGTATATGAGGATATTATTTAAATAAGCTATAGGGAATTTATTTAACGTATTATAGAGAATATTATTAATAAGATTCTAGAATATTATTAGGGCTTTTTATAAGCCGAAGGGATAAACGAACGATTTATAGAATCCAAATGTCGTTATAAGTACTATAAGCTATTTGTATCTTTCATAAATTCGTATTCGGTTAAATGCTATAAATATATTTAGTTTAGTAAAGATTTTTACTTTATAGATAGCATTTAGTATTCTTTTAATTAATAGAAGGGGGTAATATATCTTTAAAATTGTATTATTAATACCTCGGGAATGGTAATCGATATAGATTCGTATACTACTACTTAGCTTTTTTATTAATAATATTGGGAATGCTATTAGGGTTTAGGATAGCTTAATAAAACCTTACTTAATATTATCGTCTAATTATTTCTTAAAAATACCTAACTCTAGGGGGGAAAATAGTTATAACTAAGCGTTAGACAATTTTACGCCGGGGATTAATTCGATTTTATAATTATGGGACTGGTATTATAGAATAACTTTCGCCTCTTTAGGGTTTGCTATATTCTAGTACTAATAGTAGTAAATAGGCATTTTGGCTTTAATTTCTTATTTAGTAGCGAGGGGTTTATTTACTTTTTTATAAATTTTTTTAGTATTTTCCTTTGTAATTCTCGCTATAACCTCTCTTACTTCGCTTTAGAGTACTCTAAGAAAGTAATCCTTAAATTGGTCTTTATATTCTGTACTATTAGTTATATAGATATTATTATATATTTTCTCTATAATTTTATTTTCGAGTTTATTTGACCGTTAATAATTTTTATTTCTAGCTTTCTAGCCCCTTATTGATTTGTACTTTGGTTGTTACTATAATTTTAAGGTTTTCGGTTTTAACAGCGAATTTAAAGTTAGTAGTATTGAGCGCTATAATATTATTAAAATTAATAGGAATATTATTAACATTTATAGGCCTTATGGATAATAGTATTAATAGTCACCTTTTAAGATTTAAGGTCCGGATTCGCTTATTGTTGATAGTTCTATATGAGGTTGGTTTGGTTAATTTGGCTCGTAACGGTGTATTGGGGATTATTACTATTTAGTTGCTTATAGGTAATTGAATAGACTAGAACTATTCGGTGTCTATACTATATACTTTGGCGATTCTTTATAATAGTTTGGTTTTTCTACGCTTGAGAGCTCTACGAGTCGGGGATTATTATTATTATTACTTAGTTTTAATAATTGGCTCCCCTTCGGCCGCCTTAACGGCTTGCTCCTCCTCGGCTGTTTTAATAGTTTACTTAGTAATATTTCCGATAATAATTTCCCCTAAGGCTTTTGGGGTTCGTGTTTGGAAATTTGGTGTAATTGTAGGTATATAAGTGCCTTTATATTTACGGTTGAATTTGAGTTCCCCCTTTTCCTAGTTTGTGGAAGGATTGTGTTGTTGGAGTTATAGTAGGCCTAGGATAATAGGGTTTTTTAGGGATAGAGTAAAAACGAATAATTTGATTTGCTTATTATGTAGTCCGATTTATATAGTAAACTTTACGAAATCGGTTATATAGGTATTAATATTACCGTCGGCTAGTTGTAGTAGTCTCGGTTCGTTGAATTTCGTTGTAAGTATTTGATTTCTCTTAATAAATTTGGTATTAATAAAGCTTTTACCCGTATGATTATTATTAATTAGGGCTGTATATTATACTTTATATTTACTACAAAGAAGGTAATTTGAAAGGAGGATGTATTTTTCTAATCCAACTATTACTAAATTAATAAATAATAATTCTAGTGTTTCTTCCTAGTCCCAGTATAATTCCCTATTTAAAAAGTCTTTATTATATTTATTTGGGTATCCTTCCGCTTCTAAACCATTCTTATATCCTTTCCCGTCTTTTCGTAGCGATAGCCTCCATTTATAATTTAGCGCGGAAGTTCGGTATTTTCCGCCTTATTAGCCTCGTTAGTATTAGTAGTTTCATTATTAGCGGTATTAGTAGTATTAAAGTTATTGTTATTACTATAGCTATTCTAACCGGCCTTCTTCTTCTTAACTACCTCCGGGATAGGGTTAATTCTCATACTTCCGATACCTCCTTTACTATCTCTAATATTAATAAAACTCTAATATTTTTTTTAATTGTAGCCGACCCTGCCGTACCTCTAGTATTTACCCAATTCTAATCGCTTCTTCTATAAGGCTTAAGGAATTAAGCGCTTATTAATAATTTTAAGTTTATTTAAATTTATTAGGTTACTGCCCTAGGAGATTGTTTTATTTTCGGAGTAGCCTCCTTTATTATTATTGGAGCTATTATTGCCGGAAGATGCTGCGTTGGAGAGCTTCTTTTGGAATATTTCCTCCTTTTGACGTTCAGTAAGTTTGCCTAGGAGTTCGAGCCAACTTTAGAAGTCTTTATTACTAGGGACGTTAGGTTAGTAGGTAATCGAAGCTTAGAGTTGATTAGTAACCTTTTAGTAGAGTATAAAAATACGTATAGCGTTACTTATATTGTAGTAGTTAGTATTAAGGATAAGTTTATTAGCGAAGTTTTAGAATAATAGTTTATTTAAAGCTTCTATAATGTACGATCTACTTTTACCTTTATATTCATAATATTATACCGACCGTCGAAGTATTTAATAAGTTCTTCGCCTATTTTCCACTTCATAAATTAGGGTATTCGTCGGTTAACATTGTTTATATATCTAGCTTAATAATAAAGATAGGGGTCTTACCTAAATAAATAAAGATGTGTATAAATTGATTATATTCGTTAAGTAAATACTATTTATTATATACTTAGTATAAGCGAAGTTTAGTATGCTAAATCGTATATACTACGTTATAATCCTTAGTAATTGATCCCAATATATTAAAAACGTCCGGGTTGGTAGATATATAGTGGTTTATACTATTAGTAGGCTTAATATAGCTAGGATTACCGGTAAGGTTATTAATAGGGACGCTATTGAAATTTCCGCCGTTACTCGAACTATTAAAATTAGCGAAGTTTAAATCTTTAGTTATAACGTTAAAACTATTATTAATTATTTCAAAAGTAACGACCTTATTTTATAGCGAATAGACTTAAGCTTTAAGGATAGTGTTTTTATTGAGAAGTTTTATTATTTTAATATTGTAGTTGGTGTAGAGAGTTTCCTTGGCCTTGAATTCGCTGAATTAACCCTTGGCCTTATTTTTTCAGTAGATAATATTGTTCTGGAGGGCTTTTTGGGCTTGGATATAAATTCGTTCGTTAGCCTCTTTTTTAAATATCTTTTAGTAATAGTTGGCCCGGGTTGGATTGAAAGTTTTTATAATAGCGTTGATAATAGCATTAAAAACTAGAAGGGGGGCGATATTTATAGTATATTAACGTAAAAATAATAGGATATATATGAGTTGGTTCGTTAGTTTAAAGTTTATTATAGAGGTAGGCCTAGAAAATTCTACGATTATTATTATTATTATAGAAACATAAAGTTAATATTGCTATTTTATTGTCGGTAATCCTACCTTCGGGGTCGGTATAGGGTAGAAGTTTTATTCTTAGGAATATAAAGTTTGGGCTATAAAAAATAAAACCCGGGGGGTAGTTGGGGGGGGGGGAGGGGGGGGGGGGGGGGGGGG